TAATCATACATGGGATACACGTAATACGCGTAATGAAAATGATAACGAATTTCGTGCAGTTGCGTTAGACGCGCGCAATGCGACGTCATAATGGTTAATTTAGTGCAGCACGCATTTGTAACTCGCGAAAATTAAATTTACACATTTGCGCGTATTAACATGACACGACACGACGTTCATTTGACATGGAAGAATTATTCCCTGCGAAATTCCGCTGAAAAGTATCCCTCCGAACACAACCGTGCAATTAATCACGGAACTTTTTCCATTCGTCATCGGTATAAATGGATAAATATGCACCCTCGAAGAAACCTCATCCGGCATACAAACTCACGACGTGAAGAAAGAATTGAAAAGTAGAAGAATACCGTATCGTTCGTACGTTTGTAATACTCTGAGGAAGTGGGGGTAGCTTTCCAAGAGGGCTGTAAAAATGAAGAGGGTTGTAGACATCTTCTACATCTATCTGTATGTTCTACAAGACTACTAGGGAAACGACGACTTGTAAGTCATAAGGTAATAACCGTATTTGGGTATGGGCCAGGAAGACTTCGAATTTCCAAATATATGAAAGAAATGGAAGCCTAAGGTCGAATGTGCTTAATAGAGATGTAAAAGAACATTTGCATCTCGAATATTATTCATGTTGCAAAAATTACTGTCATTTCAGTCGAGAGACTGTAATAAAATTATTATCGTTTAATTAATATATATATATCATTTCGTATAATTTCTTCAAAACCCTATTCACGGTATAGAAATTACACTGTCACACTGTCACACCTGTCATCTACTGGCAATTTGTTCGATCAATAAACTGTTTTATCACTAAAGAAGGACATTGACATACATCGTATATTAATATACGAATTAATAAATTGACAAAAATTACAAAAATATAGCCAGCCATTTCACGCTTGTCAAATTTTTCAGAAAATTACAAGATCGTGGGAGAAGGAACAGTGTTATATATTTGAAACAGGAAGCTTGAAACATTTCGAAACGAAACATAATATATAACTTAGGACATTTTTATAATCACAGATACACAAAATTAAAGTTATTAATAATTTAAGTTATTAAGTTATTCATTTAAGTTATTAATAAATCGCCGACACAAATAGGAAGAAAATATTTTATAATGTTTTGATAAAAAATTAAACTAACAATGGAAACTGCAATATCATAACAAGCATAGGCTAGTTAATACTTTGTTAAAAAATTCCGATAATAATGAAAACCGTAATATGTAGAAATACACTATTTTTTAATAATTCACGATGTTGTATAATATTATAACTCAATATAGTTTAGTTAATATAAACATATGCTTGTAAATACTTTGTTAAAAAATTAAAATAATAATGAAACCTGTAATATATAGAAATACACTAATTTATTAATATTCCACGATACTGTATAAAAGCATAATTTAATATAGCATAGTTAATATAAACGTAGGTTTGTAAATACTTTGATAACAAATTAAAATAACAATGAAAACCGTAATATATAGAAATACACTATTTTTTAATTTTCCACGATACTGTATAATAATATAATTTAATATAGCATAGTTAATATAAACGTAGGCTTGTAAATACTTTGACAACAAATTAAAATAAAAATGACAAACCATAATATATAAAAATACACAATTTTTTAATTTTCCACGGTGCTGTATAATAGCATAACTCAATATAGTATAGTTTATATAAACATATGCTTGTAAATACTTTATTAAAAAATTAAAATAATAATGAAACCTGTAATATATAGAAATACACTAATTTTTTAATATTCCACGATACTGTATAATAGCATAATTTAATATAGCATAGTTAATATAAACGTAGGTTTGTAAATACTTTGACAACAAATTAAAATAATAATGAAAACCGTAATATATAGAAATACACAATTTCTTAATTTTCTACGGTGCTGTATAATAGTATAATTTAATATAGCATAATTTATATAAACGTAGGCTTGTAAATACTTTGTTAAAAAACACTATGTCACAGTTTAATAGACACATTTCCATCGCACTTTCGCCATTCCACGCCTCAAAGGATCGTGCCCGAGAAACTTCATCGTGCCTTCCAGAAATGGCGACTATTTTTAACAGGATTTCAGTCGTCCATCTCCGTATGTCCGCGGGCTGCGACCTCTTATCCTTCGACTCCCTTCACCCCTAGGGACACAACGAGAGAACTCGAAACGTTTCTTCGATCCTCTCTATCCTTCGTTAACTTCTTATTTCCTGCCAGGTCACTCCTATTCCGCTAACGATTGCTTCCTCTTCACGGGATCTCACGTTTTGGCATCGGATGCCAAACTTGACACTCCTTGCGCCAGTTTCGAAAGGAAATTTTAAAAATACTTCCAGCTGTCACTCCTATTAATCCATCTCTACCACATTCCAAATTTATCTCCGAAAATTCATCGTACAATTGATCTGTTTCTACAAATTTCTGAGAATAATGGTATCACGGTTTACAGAGTTATCAGAGTATTCGAAAGCCACTTTCTTTGGTTGCATTTGTGTCTCCTTTCATCTCGTTTGGCAGGTCATCGATTGCTCTTTAGAAAGTTTAGATCGACGGTGAATGCACTCGTGCTTTTTTCCCTGATCTGTCAAGCACGAGGCGAGGCACAATAAAGACATTGTTTAGCGAGAGATCGTGATAGGAAGGCAACATCTGAATCAGGCGAATTCAGGCCCCGATGCAATCTCGCGAGCAGCGAACCGTGTATTTTCTCCGACTAATCTGATCATTTCGCCACTATCAGTTTCCATTGTACGTTCTCGAATATTGTCTCGAAAACTAATGTATGTCGCGCGGAATTTCGGGGTCCATCGATATTTGATACGAACGCAGCAAGCTTGCCATGTACCGTCTCCTAACCTAACTGACGCATTATACAATTAAATATTAAATTCGCGAAGTCAGTGGCTGTACATAAATCTTATTCATGGACGTTTTAAATGTACATACAGCATGGCTTATTTTAGTACAGTATTTCGTTGCGTAAAAGTGTGTGGAATTCATGAATAAAATTATGCAAATTGTGTCAATAATTTTCCGTGGAAGCTAATGAAAGTATGGCTGATTTAACAAATGTAGGAAACAATTTTTCACGTGCGAAAGTGATTATCAACTGAGAATATCATATTCCAAATCCTTTGTTCGAAATAAGTTTGAAATAAAAAGGAGAAAAATTTTGGAGCCATTTTAATAATAAATTTACGAATTCGATATGAACGTTTGAAATATACCGGCCTAGTTTCCTCTGACTTTCGTCTGCACCAATTACGATAGTAATAAATAGGTCAAGGAGCTTATGGATAAGAAATTCAGATGCCAGAATCGGTGGACGAAATGTGACAAGACTTCGAGTGCTCTCAAGACACGACAACCACTGCCAAAAATCGGCTGTCAGAAGAATTGTCAGAACTGTCATAAGAGTAATTGGAATAAAAATTTTTTCCCAGTGAGTACTATCAGAGCTCGCGTTGCTATGGGTAATATTTCGAATAAAAATATCGCTGTTTACGCGTCCGTGAAAAGATGAAGGATCGAAATTTATAAAATTTATATGGCGGTCTGACATTTTAATCTATTTTGCTGGAAGGCAAACAGCTGCGGAGAAAAGAAGAGGAAATATATATATATATATATCGTCCAGGGACACGATTGTCATTTCGTTTTCTCATCGAACGAGAGAAATCCTGTTAAGGGAAGGGATCAAGGATTGCGTTTCTGGTTATTGCTCAAAGGAAAGCGAACGATTTAATGGCTTCGTCTGGGCCCTCTCATCTGGCTGCAGGTACGAGGTATTGTTTTTATCGACGTTTGGGAAAAATATGTCAAACCGATATTCCGAACGACAGGGAACCCGATGCTTTTAACTCTCGATTAATTTTTAAATTTATGTCAAGACACCGGAGGTTGCGATCGATCAGCGCCGCGGTCGAAAGCTTTTATTTAGCGCGCACCCTCGTGTTCCGCATTTACGATTACCGGCTCGTGAATTCCGTCGGTTAATGAAATAGAAAAATATCTGAATTTCATCAGCTTATGCGTTCCTTGCTAAACCCGCACATCGTCAAGCAATGATTAAATTCGTACGCGGATTACGTGATAAATATTTTGTAATATCCTATTTGTAAAATATATGTATGATGTATTATTATATATCATATCATGTACGATATTATAATATCAAATTCAGATTGAAGTGGATTATATTTGGTCAACCTAGAATTCTTGAAATTATTATCAATAATTGTAATAGAAACACGATGCTTTTGTTAATTTACCTATTAATCCTATTACCTATTATTAATTTTGTTATTAATTATTACTTATTAATAATTTTCTGTCTTTTGAGTCTCCAAATTATCATGCTTCTATATTTCTGAAACTTCAAAACTGTCTAAAAAAATTTACCCATTATTCCAATGAATATTTTCTCTATAATAATTTTCTGTTTATTGAGTCACCAAATTTTCACGTTTCTATATTTCTGAAATTTCAAAATTGTCTAAAAGAATTTACCTATTAATCCAAACAATAATTTCCCTAATTTTCTTTCTTTCTGGTCATCAAATTATCACGTTTCTACGTTTCTGAAATATCAAAGTTTCCTAAATAAAAATTTAGCATTCGTTTTAGAACTCAAATAATTAATATCGTCGATTATGGAATATACTTCGTCGATTCAGAAGTAAATTAAATACACTCCAGAGCCGTTGCTCACCTGAAATTCCATTCTCCTCGAAACCAGTAGACATTCATCCGCATCGTGCATTCAACACACTCCACTAACCTTAACACATCCTCTTCGCACAAATCAAAAAAGAAAAAAAAGAAAAAAAAATGGGAAAAGAAGAAAAAGAGAGCCAGACAGACAAGTGCAGGGCATTGTTCTCCGAGCTTCATAGGAAGCGCGAATGAATCAATATCCAATAAATCGGCAGACAAGTAGCTACTCACCCTGCAGAAGCTGGTGATGGAGGATATCTGAAACAGAAAGCAGAAAGGAACGATCAGCCGTTGGAATCCGGTGAAGTAGCGCGCGATAAATAATTGATCTGCAGCCCAGACCGAATCGTTCATGCTCTACATCTACCCAAACACCCGAGGCCAGCTTCGAATTCGTATTCGTACACGCAAGCACAGGCGTAACCCGGCACGAAAAAGGAAAGAAGCAACGGAGAAAAAGAGAAAAGCGCGGATAGAAATTCACAAGCCGACCACGCATCGACGACGAAGGCAGCTTTCGAGAAGCTGATCGCAGAGTCGAGAATCTCGAGGAGCCATGCCGCGAAAAAGTTTCGTCGTGATTATCATAAGAAGTTCCAACGCTGACTTTCAACGCGGGAAAAAACCTGGCGGCCATTTTACGTATTCCCCGGCGTTACGCTGGCCCAACTTCTGTGTACACCGCCACGCGGAATTAGATATCCGGCCCGAGCTGTCTTCCAGCGCAGCTTGCACGTCGTGCTTTTTCCTAATGGCCAAGCTTTTTTGCATTTTTACCGATTCCACGTTCCCCAACTTTTGTCCGCGACTTCCGCTCCGCGTTTACGAATGCCGCGACGGCGTGAGAATGGATAAACGCCGCTTCAAAATGGCCGTCCCTGGGTCACGAATTTTTACCCAAGATTCGATTGCACGCGGTTTTCTGTCGTGTGTTTGCGAAATCCCGAGTGTATTATTCGACTAGGTGTCTCGTGATACTTCTGAACAGGTATTCAACCATTTGCAGAGATTTAATACTTTAATTCTACGACAATGTTTCATGTATCGTGTCTTCAAACAACAAGGAAGAGACTACTTCCAAGTTACCACTATAAACTGTAGCGACCATCATTCTCGCCCTCGCAACTAGATGGATTCCGCCTTTAAGGACTTTCCCGCAAGTCCTCGGGAAACTCCCAGTTTCCTATATATATAACTTCCCATTTTTCCAATTGTATCCCCAGTGTCTAAGGCAAGGGCCTGCTAAGCAAGCCTTACTGATGAGTCCGCTAGCAGGCCCGGGATGAAACGCAACCCTTCCTTTTTCTAACGTCCCTTCTAGCTAACAATCATGAGGATACCTGGACGAGCCGACTTTAAACGATGGTGGGGGAGGACCCCCACAAAACTAATCCACTAAAATCGAAGTTGAAGGTTTATTAACAATTGTTAGAGTTATTATAGTTGCGTAATATTGCGAATTTTCACGTAGCTTTGCGAAGGAGCTCAGCCCAGGTCAGTTGGGAAAAGCCTTGGGCAATGCGTTGGGCCCTAAACGTGACCATATATTAAGGAAGGCATTGAAAAACGTGTGCATGGTGGAAGTGATATTTAAAGAAGGTGATATTCAAGTGATATTCGAAGCGATAATTTCAAAGAGTAGTCAGAGAACAGATTTTTTAGACAATTTTAGTCTAGACGATTAGTTTGTAGGGTCTCAGGGTTGCAATGAGATCTGGTAGTTCCTATTGTGCTGCTAATTGGCATCCTCTTGCTATGATATGCCTCGTACTATGATACGTAGCAAGTAGTAGAAGGATGCAAGGAAAAGGGAGGGATGCATTTCATCCTGGACCTACTAATGGACTAGGTCAGTTAGGCTTTCTAGCAGGCCCCACCTTAGACAGGGGATACTTAGGTACTATAGGAATGTAGGGATCCTTACTGACAAAGAAGACAGACATTTTTCCACTCATAGCAACGTCAGTAGTCCCGAGTCAATGGAGGCCTGGTTATGTCTTCACGACCAACCCCCATGACTCGCAGACACGCATGGGCCAAGGTTGATAAAAGTACAACTAGCTCAATGGCGACCAGAGTGCGATTCAGACCATTTTCTCAATAGCAATGTTTTCTTGGCACAGCTCCCCTCGTGCATAATAAACTCTGACAAAATCCGCTTATTTAATCCTCAACGATATCCCATCAGGGACTTGTATTTATGGGAATCGAGCCGAGTCGAACAAAGTCCTCGAACCTCCTTCAAGTAGGAATCCATCTATTAGCGAGAATGAGAATAATGCCGCTACAAGTTGTTGCAAACTGAGTTGTTATCGAGTTATCAAGTTGAACGCTGTATTTATTAAACTGAGAATCGATCTAGATCCGTGTGAAGAGATAATTCGTACGTTTAATCGTCACTCGAATACAGTTATAATTAATTAATAAATTACCACATTCATCAATACCTACAAATGTATCTCTGTATTACTTGGACGTCTCGGTTCTCTCTTCTTAATTTCTCCGTGGAAAATTATTTTCACAATTGACAGTTCGAACCGATTGGTCGTTCATCATTTAGAGTGCCTTTATCGGAAGATAAAACGCACGCATTCCCAGTGTTGGACTTGGAAGAAAAGAGTCTGACGGCGACTGGAACGCAAGAATAGTGGAATTCGCAACGTATCGATCTCAATAAATTGGTACTCGTTGACCCAATTTTCCCACGGTGACGTTTCTTCGTAAAACGAATTGTCCTCGTTTCAGTTTCGTCTATCCGAGCAGCAGTCGTGACAAATAAGGAGCATTAAGCAGAGACGAGTCCGCTGAATTTCAATTTAACGAGTGAAATCGGTTGGGTCAAGGTTGAACGTCTTTTACACGGAGAAAAGGAGCTTCGTCGAACGTTAATTAACTTTCACCAGACAGACTCTTGCAAGACTAAATTATAGAAACCGGAATAAAAATGTAAGACACTAAGAACAAGCAGATAGACGTTGCCATCTTCATCCCTTTATTTTCTTCTTCGACACGCTTCATTGCCAGAAGTGAATTACTTTATTTTAAATTTAAGGGGTTACAGAAAATAGGTAACCTGGTTTCATTCACTCTCTTCATTTTATCTCACCTCTCTGGCCTTCCCTCTTTTAGCTATTTGTATGTCCACGATGTTTTCCAGTTTAAACTTACAAATTTTACACCCTTGTCCTTTTTCACGCGCGCTTTTGTCGCGACATTCAGGCTCCCCTTTTCGCGTTTATCCTACGTCTTTTCACCCCTTTACTCGAAACTTATTCCTTCATATTTTACGCGCTGTTACCATGAACCTGCGAAAATAGATATCGCTGCGAAGAACGGGAGAAATCAAGGGATAAAGAAATAAGTTGTACCCGTATTCGATGAAAATAGAGAGAAGGGATTTTAATTATATTTCTAGTTAGGTTGCACTCAGATTGTTTTTCAAATTAATCTCTGTTTCTACGTTCGAATTATAGACAAGAATACACTGCATCGAAGAATAATACTGTGGTATTGCGAGCCGTGAAGGACTCTAGCGAAGGAGATAGTATAATATTAAGAGCGATAGCGAGGCGAATTGGTGTATGGTCTTAGTTCTAAGTGAATACATGGGAAGACTCGGGCAGATTCCCGAAAAACGAGGAATAATAGACAGCAGCATGGGATTCGACTCGGATGTTCAAGGCGACATCTAGAATGCGGGTGAAAGAACAAACAGCGCGAAAAGATCGTTTTGACGGGATATCTATGTTCATATCGAGTGATCGAGAAAGAAAGTCTGTATATGAAAAGCGAGAGTGTTAACCCTTTGCACTGGGCGATTTTTTCGTTACAGAAAAATAGTAATTCAAAGATATTTATAAATCGGTAAATAAGAAATCGTATGCAAACTAATACGTAGAATTATTTTATTTCACTAATCCTTGACTAATTTTAAATTTGATATATTAATTAACACCGATCTTCAGAATCGGATTAAATGGCGACTGAGAGTCGCTTCTCGAGTGCAAAGGGTTAAACTTTAAGTAAGGGAACAAGGGCACGGATGAAGCAAAATACATGTAGTCGAGACCTAATGAGTAGAGAATCGTGTGTTTGAGAGTTATTATGATATTTTAGTTGAAATAAATCTATTTCGTTATCAAAAAGGAGTCTTTGTTTATTAAACAAGCAGATCTCTGTCTGCATAGATTAATACGTTAAGCTACCCCTAGGGACCGGCGCTAGACATTCAGACTTCGCGAAAGGGTTAGAAAGCGGAAATTTAAATTATTTTTATTTATTTTATTTATTTTCATCGTATCGGTTTAATTAATATCAATTATGCGCGCTATTTTTATTAATTGTTTGCACGAGGTTTATTAAATGCGCATATCTCTGCCTGCATAGGATTAATCTAGCAATAATCCTCCAATACGAACTACCCCAATTTCTTCCGACAGTCTTCCCCAAGAGAATAATCAATTGCCGAAAATAATCGCGCGTTTTGGCAACTTTCGACGAGATTTCAACGAAATCGTTCCCACGAGAAACCGAGATTAGGGAAAAAAGGAATTCGAGCCTGGAACAACTTTCGTGACCCGTGCCACCCATACATAGGCCCAATAGAACTTGATTTCGCTTTGATAACGTAACACTAATACCACGTCGGGGCAACTTGGCAAGTCCATTGTTCACCTCTGATCGGTTATCCGCTTCGCCGGCCCCCGATTAAATCCGCTGATGAACTCGCGACGATAAAGTTCGGTCAAGTTCATTACGCTCTGGGAGAGGACTTTCATTAAAATGTGGAAATCCAGCGGGATCCAGGGAATTCTTTCCACCGGCAACCGTTATTACGAAGGCGTCACTTTTATTTTCCCGGGTTCAATTTTTGTTTCGCCACATTTTGCACGATAATGCACCGTGGAAAGCGAATATTCCGCTTTGAGCTTCTGTCAAGACGCTGAGATAATTGGTGGACGATTATCAAACGTTGATTGTCAAACGTGGTTAAATCCTCCATTGCGATTGAGAAACGAATTTGTCGAAATTACAACGTATTCGTTGCCGAGCATGCGTGCTAGGTAACAAGGGATTGGAATAGCTACGGCCCTGAGAGAACGCAAAAAGTGTTTGGCACTTTGTTGCAAAAGAACGAATGTATAGCTTAGGCTAATAATTAGGCAACCTATAAATGCGTGCGGAGGCATGAAAATTGTTGTAGTAAAATTAAATAGTAAAATAAACTCTATATTCGTGTGATTTGAGGGTGATCCCTT